CATTATTGTTTGGCAGGTCCGGGCTGGGGATTCGAACCCGCCACCTTAGGTGTACGTGGCTGGCGCCTTAGCCGGTTGAGCTATAGGCGCCGAGCCTGGCTTCCTATTCTTAAAAGCTAATCTGTGCTCAGTTAAAAAAAAATACTCAAATATATCTTTGTTGTTGTTTTTTAAATGTGAACACACTGCTATGGTTTGAATGTGTCCTGCAAAGTTCACATGTTGAAAACTAAATCCCCAGGGTAATAATGTCAGGAGGTGGGGGTCTAAAAAGAGGTGATTAGGTCATCTAGGTAGGGCAGCTCACATTTATAATCCTAGCATTCTGGGAGGCTGAGGCAGCTGGATTGCTTGAGCTCACAAGTTCCAGACCAGCCTGAGCAAGAGCAAGATCCTTGTCTCCACTAAAAATTAAAACAAAAACAAAATTAGTCGGGCATTGTGGCAGGTACCTCTAGTCCTAGCTACTCAGAGGCAGAGTCAAGAGGATTGCCTGAACCCAAGAATTTGATGTTGCTGTGAGCTACAATGATGCCACACCACTCCACCCAGGGTGACAGAGCGAGTCTCAAAAAAACAAGAGGTGAGGCTCGGTGCCTGTGGCTCAAGCAGGTAAGGCACCAGCCACATAAACCTGAGATGGCGAGTTTGAATCCAGCCCGGGGCCAAACAACAATGATGGCTGCAACCAAAAAATAGCTGGGCGTTGTGGCGGCCGCCTGCAGTCCCAGCTACTTGGGAGGAGGAGGCAGGAGAATCTCTTGAGCCCAGGAGTTGGAGGTTTCTGTGAGCTGTGATACCATAGCACTCTACCCAGGGTGACAGCTTGAGGCTCTGTCTCAAAAAAGAAAAACCAACAAGGTGATTAGGTCAAGAGGGCTCTGCCCTCACAAACAGACTAATGTCATTAACACCACAGTGGGTTAGCTGTAAAAGCAAGTTCAGCCCTCTCTAGTTCTCCTGCCTTCCACCACCCGAAGACAGAGCATGAAGCCCCCCACCAGATGTCAGTACTGGCCTCTTGGACACCCCAGGCTCCAGATCCGTGAGCCAAATAAATTTCTATTCACTATAATTGCCCAGTCTGTGGGATTCTATTATAATAGAACTAAAACACACATGTTTTGAAGCATGACTATATTCTCTTCCTTAAAAATGGGTATTCAAAAATACCTCAGTGTGGGATCCAGGTAAGTTTTAGTGTGGATGAATTCAGATATAAACTCAAAATACAAAGAGGAGACACAAAGGGGTATATCCCCAAACAGGCAAATGTTGTCTACACTGTTGGGAGCCAGCACCCTGTTCTCCTGGGGAAGGGACGTTGACCTGAGGGGCATGGGACCGCAGCTGCTTCCAGTGTGCTGGCATTGTCTTCTTTCTTGACGTGAGTGGGTGCTGGTTACATCGGTGTGTTCATTTTGTGACAATTCCTTGAGCTATATATTCCGCATCTGGGGACTTTCTATAGGTTATACTTCAATAAAATTTACTTAAAAATACGGGAAAAAAATACCAGGAAGGGAAGTTTACTTCCTGTGAATAAAATGGAAACAAGTTGATGGGCTGAGTTTAAACTGAGCCCATCTAATCTTAGAGCAAGTTTAAGAAATAATCATGAAACAAGCAAAAACTCCATGTCTTTCACATAAACTCCCTCTGACAGGGGGTAAGGGGCTGAGCAGAGGCTGAGAAAGCTGTTACCAGTCAAGAAAATACTCTGCAGTAGTTCTAGGAGTTTCTTGCCCCCTCCCAGCTCACCAGGCTGTACTGATTCTTCCTTCCTAATCTTGCTCACGTTCACCCCTTCCATCTCACTCCCAGTGTCTACTGAAGTCAGAGCCACCAGTGCTCACTTCTAATAAGCCAACCCCCTTTCCTTCTAGGAAGCATTCCCAGCTCACGTTGAGCCCCTCTCCTGGGTATTCCCACTGGCCACACCACTCACTTGGTGATTAAGCACACCCTGCCTGGCCACATCACACCGGACCAGTGGGTTCCCACCATGATCCTATGGAACACAGGTCAGCTCCCTCTCAAAGTCAGTCATGACAGTCCTTTTCCAGGGGACCAGAAAATATCTCCTTTACTAAATACGTGATCTCCCAATAAAGATTTCCTAAAATCTTGCCTTCTATTGCTACTGGTCCATACTAGAGTCAAGTATTAAGGTGGAGTGTTGAAATTATTTGTTATTTTCAGTTTAAAATATCAATACTCCCTAGATGAATGAATGAATCTGGGATTGTTAATGACTGTTCAAAGCATTACGCAAAAGGCTGGAGAATTTTATGAATGCATCAGGCTGACAAACCTAACCTCTCATCCATCTGAACGCACTGTTGACCAGCAATTTTTGTGCAGAAGCTACCCCCTGCCACCAGCTATTACTCTGATTAAGTATGAAAGTGAAACAAAACTGATATGTCTTCTCTATGGTACCACTGCTTCATCTAGGGATAATTCCTGCTTAGGTATATACAAAGACTGAAATTTTGGAGTAAAGTAATTCAAAAGAGGCCTGATTTTATAAAGCTTCACATGCTGGAGCTTGTGAATTATCACTAAGATGAAAAATATGTAAGGATTTGCTCGAACCTCATTCTGGTCATAGTTTTAGGAAATACTAATGTTTAGAGCAAAGGGTTTGTTGATGAGTAATCGCTGCAATGTGATATTTTCTTTGTCCCATCAATATCAACAAACCAAGTGATTTTTTATATCACTACTTGTAACTTCCAGCCACGGTAAAGTTTTAGGAGACTTTTTATTATAAAATTGTTCCATTTGGTAGGGGTATAAATTGGTTTGAGAAGCAACTAAATAAAAAAAAATTATCAAAATGTAAATTCAGTGCTAGCTTCAGCAGCATATGTACTAAAATTGGAATGATACAGAGAAGATTAGCATGGCCTCTGTGCAAGGATGACACCCAAATTCATGAAGAGTTTCATATTTTTTTTTATCACAAGGACATTTGCACTACACTGTTTATTGCAGCTCAATTTACAATTGCCAAAACGTGGAAACAACCTAAATGGCCACCAACCCAGGAATGGATTAAAAGGCCGTGGCATATGTACACCGTGGAATACTATTCGGCCATTAAAAAAGATGGAGATTTACATCTTTTGTATTAACCTGGATGGAAGTGGAACACATAAAACATCACAAAAATGGAGGAGCAAGAACCCAATGTACTCTGTTCTAACATAAAAGCAGTGGATGAGCTAATACAAGGTGGCGGGTAGGGGAAAGGGGGAGCAGGGAAAGTGGGGGTGGGGGTCACAGTGTATGGCACACCTCTTGGGGCAGGACACAAATATATGAGGGACTTTATCTAGCAGATACAATCAGTGTAACCTAATTCTTTATACCTGCAATGAATCCCAAACAATTAAAAAAAAAAAAGCAAATCCATCACTTCACTGATGCTCTGTGTATCACTAAATTCAACAGTTTTACCTGAAATATTTGTACAATCCTCCAATGTTGGTGTGATATCATTTTCAATCCACTCTTCTTCAAAATCACTCTCACTTGAAACACATTCTTCTTGGTAATGTATCACAACAACGGAAAAGCAAGTATCCAATGTACTCGCCAGGGTACATTGATATTGGGTCTGTATTAGATCACCGGTAGACGATCTAATACAGACCCACATAAGAGAAAAACTCAATTCAGTTCAAGATGTGGAGAGGGGTGAGGAAGGAGGAGGGAGAGCAAAGGAGGGAGGGGCACTGGTATGTTCCCACTTATTGGGCACAATGTGGGGTATATGGCACATTTCCAGGGTGTGGGACACAACTACAACAGGGACCTCACCTAACAAATGCAAACACTATAACCTAATTATTTGTACCCTCATATTAACCTGAAGTAAAAAAAGTCACATACCTATGGAAAAAAACTAGAAACTATCTCTGTATAGTATGATTTATATAAAACTCTTTAAAAATAAATCTCTATGTTTCTTTTTAAAATTTTCCACAAAGAACACATTATTTTATAGTGAAAAAGTATAACTGCTATTTTTAAAAGTTTAAATATGAAATGTATTGTGAGGTGGCAGGTAGCTCTTTTAAGACAGCTTGGGCAAGAGCCATAATTTACATGACCAAACAAGTAAAACTTGGCTCAGACCTTCCATGAATGGCTCAATAAAACTATTCAATCTACTGCACCAAAGTCCTCACAAACCAGCTCACCCCCAGATAACATCTGACAAGCCATGCGTTCCTGAGTCACAACTCATTCAAATCAGATGGCTTCTGTAGAAATCAAAATGCCTGGATACATTTCTGTTTGCTACTGTTTTCCCTCGATTCTCACTAGTTCTCAAAAAGATAATTATATTTAAAGTACAATGAATGCAAATTTACTGAGTTTAAAAAACAAACAAACAAATTCACTTTCACTATCAGACCCCATTACATTTCTTTTTTGCCATTTTGGTGGTCTAATATCAGTTTCATAACTGTCCTTCAATAAACTATCATTTTTCAGGTCACTACAAAATATTTCAAAATCACTCAGACAATCTGATAAAGCATCTGCATGGATATAATTCTTTGAAAAATTCTTTGCCATCATAATTCATCATGATTGAAATTTCTGCAACACTGTAATTGTGATAAAAACTTGAATATCTAAAAGATAACTTTTTATAATAAAGTGAACACAACTGAACATGATCAAGAAAGCTTTTACAATATCCTATATTACCCTATGTTTTAAACACTGCAATAGCTAACACAAGGGCAAACGCAAGTGAACTTGTGACCGACTGGTCAACGACACATTTAAACTGTAAGAGAGAACTGCCGCGACGTGGCTCAGATGCGATGCAACAGAATGTACAGCACTTCCCCTGACAAAAAGTATCCTTGTCAAACCTTTTTTTTTTTTTTTTTT